TTCAAGCGTGGTACTCGTTCACTTGAACTTCTAGATGATGATGGTTGTTCTTGAGGACTTGCAGCTGGTGAAGTTGGTGGAGTAGTTTCCTCTGATTCCATCCTTGGTTGCACATTCTCTTCTTCCTCCATAAAGTAGGGAAAGAAGTTGTATTCTTCATGACATAGACTCCAATTCCATTCTTCTTCTTCGTTGAACTCCACATCTCGACTAATGATAGTCTTTCCATTGTTCGGATTGTAAAGTTTATAGCCTTTAGAGTTAGAATCATACCCGATGAAGATGAGCTTCTCACTTTTGTCATCAAGCTTGGACCTCTTCTCATCATGAATATGTGCATAGGCTATGCTTCCAAACACTCTCAGGTGGGAGATCCCAGGCTTTCTTCCACTCCAAGCTTCTTGTGGCATCTTTCCCCACACACTTCTTGTTGACGAACGATTTAAAGATAGACGGAAGTTGCCACGACTTCAGCCCAAAATTCTTTTGGCATCTTCTTGCTCTTGAGCATACTCCTTGCCATGTTGAGAATGGTTTTATTCTTCCTTTCAGCTATTCCATTTTGTTGTGGGCTTTTAGAAACGGTTAAAGGTCGTCGGATTCCATTATTATCACAAAATTCTTGGAATTCTTTGGAAGTGAACTCTCCACCTCTATCGGATCTCATGGATTTGATTTCACATCCACTTTCTTTCTCCACACTAGCCTTGAACTTCTTGAAGACTCCAAACACCTCTGATTTTTGCTTTAGGAAATACACCCATGTCTTTCTTGAGAAACGTCTATAAAGAGAACAAAGTAATTACTCTTACCGAGTGAGCTTGGCTTCAATGGTCCATAAATATCTGTATGTATGAGCTTGAGCGGCTTGTTGGATCTTGACAAGGACTCCTTTGGAAAGCTCTTTCGACATTGCTTCCCAAGTAAACATCATTCACATAGCTGATCAGGTTGACTGATGGAAGGCTATCCTCTCACCATCTTCTTCTTGTATAGCAACTTAAGACCACCAAAGTTGAGGTGTCCGAATCGTAGATGCCACAGCCAAGATGCATCCTTGTAGCACGCTTTGAGACACTTTGCAATGTCATGTTGAATGTTCAACAGAAACATTCTATTTCTTGACATAGGCACCTTAGCAATCAAGTTATTTTGATTATCTCTTAAAGAAAGAGTATTATTTTTTAAGTGAACATCATACCCTTTCTCTAAGAGTTGCCCCAGACTCAAAATATTATTCTTCATGTTGGGCACATAGTACACATTAGAAATGAATTCATGCCTCCCGTCTTTTAATCGGATAAGAATCTTACCTTTGCCTTTCACTGGTGTCTTTGATTCATCTCCAAAGGAGACATTTCCATTCACCGATTCGTCAAGTTCCACGAACATGTTTCTTTTTCCACACATGTGATTGCTTGCCCCCGAGTCTAGATACCATGTATTATCTTGTTCTCCTACATTGTCATTGCGTACCATCAACAAAGGGCCATCTTCGTGACTCCTTTCCTCCACATAGTTTGCCTTATCCTCAATATTTCTTGTAGGAGTTCTACATTCATAAGCATAATGGCCGAACCTTTGACAGATATAGCACTTGATTTGAGACTTGTCACGTCTTGGTTGCGAGCCACCTCTTCCATGACCTCTTGTTGAGCTCTCTCTTCGATCTTCATTGGCATAGTTGTTGTTGAAGCCTACTCTTCCACGTCCACAACCTCTTCCTCGACCACGATATCCTCTTCGTCCTCTTGTGTTGCCAAAGTCTTCTTCCTTTTCTTTGAAGTTGAGCTGTGTCTTGAGTAATTATTCACCAACCCCTTGCTTCTTCTTTTGCTTCTCCTCATATACTTGTAAAGAGCCCAAGAGTTGCTCTATTGTCATAGCTTCCAAATCTTTTGTTTCTTCTATGACAGTGACAATATGATGGAATTTCGAATCTAAAGATCGCAAAATTTTCTCCAAAATTTTTACATCATCTATCTTTTCACCATTTCTTTTTAATTGATTAGTCACTGTCAAGACTATAGAAAAATAATCGGAGATACTTTCGGCATCTTTCATGTGTAAAGTTTCAAACTCACTTCTTAGAGTTTGAAGACGTACCTTCTTGACTGGCTCAGCACCCTTGTAAGAGGTTTGTAGCTTCTCCCATGCTTCCTTTGCGGTGGATGCCTCCGAAATCTTCTCAAAAACATCTTCATCCAATCCTTGATAGATGAGATAGAGATCTTTCTTGTCTCTCTTTCTTGAATCCTTCAAGCTCATATAGTGTCTCCTTCTTGTGGCTCATCGTAGCCTTTCTCCACTACTTCCCACACATCTTGTGATCCAAGGAGGGCCTTCATCTTGATGCTCCAATTATCATAGTTGCTCTTGGTGAGCATAGGGACTTGGAAAGGAACCGTGTTGCTACTTGCCATTTCTCTAGAAAGGATCTTAAGGCTCTTGATACCACTTTGTTGGGAGGAGGACTTTTGAGAAAAGTAAAGGTTATAGAAAGATATGGAGGAAGAGAACACTTTTATTACTACACAACTCTTTTCTTCTTTTGGCTTGTTACAAAATGATGGAGGACACACCTATTTATACTAGTGGCACCTCCTTAACCAATGGCTAGGATTGTGCCAACACAATTCTCATCTAAGGGCTACGAATTATTCTCTAGAATTTTCTATAATCTCCTAGCCTAGATATTTATGATGGTGGTTTCTAGATATATAACTATTTTCTAGATATTTTGATGGAGACATCTTGAGTTGATTATTCTAGAATTTGGGCTAGATAACTCTTGGATATTTCTAGATCTTGGGCTAAATGTATACTAAGCTCAATAGACCAAAAAACTAAATCAAATTTATTTATTAAACAATTAAAGCCTCTATGTCCAAATTGTCCAAAGTTTAATTCTTGTCACTCCATTTCTTCTAATAATTGGGGCATGTTAAAAATATAATGTAAAATAAAAAATCAATCGCCATTAAAATCCAAGAGTTGGAGGGGGGGATAAGGAGAAGATCAGCAGCATGAAATAGTGATAATAAAAACCCACGTAGGTACATTTGCTTACGCATCATCCTCAGCTTTAAATTGAAGACTCTTAACTTTGTGGGCAAAAAGATAGCAGCTTCCTTGATACGCGCAAGCATGGAAGTGCGTTGATGTATTCTTCACTTGCTTTTTTAGGCTTTATTAGCTTTTCCTTTCTCTCTCTCTCTCTCTCTCTCGCCAACTTGCCGTGCTTAAAATTTCTCTGTAACCAATAAAGGTTGTGACACCACCCTTTTTTTTATACTTGGCAATTTAAAGAGAAGCTTCATGGATCTAATCTCTCGTACAAATATTAGCAAACAAAAGACACGCGGAGAGAAATGGACACAGAAGGAAAGCTTGTGCTCTTGTGTTTGTGTGTGAGTTTTTTATAAATATCTATAGATACACACACATTGAAGGCAAACCTACTTATAGGGTTCTCATGCATCGCGAAAAAAAAAATGTACCAAAAGATTATTCCAAATTATTTAATACAGCAGTAAAAGGATTGTCCCTTGTTTTTTCCTTCTTTTGTTAACATATCTTTACTATAATTTCTTCTTTGTCTCATCACCTGAGAAGTTGAGCTGTCCTAACTGCTTTTGTGTCTGAATTTTGATTTATTGTTAAAACTACTAATTAAGTTATATGTTAAGTTCATATTGGAGGTATCCTTATTTCCTAATTAAAGGGTGATTTTACCAAGGTTGTGTCAATATTCATACTTGTGTGATAAGATGCGGCTTTCTTGTCTATTGATCATCTTATTCCAAAGAAATGTAGAGCAGCAAAGTAGAGAAAAGGAAGAGTGAAAGATTGATACTTCTTGTCGGGTTCAACTCATTCCCTAGGAACTTCAAGAGAAAGAATCATCGCAGTGTACCACTTGGCTTGAAAATGATTGAGCACTTCAAAATTGATATTCTTTGACCTTTTACGTTTATACGTGGTTGGAGAACAATTTTGTCTTAGTTTCTTTTATAGAAAAGAAAATAGAAAGACATGATGGATTTTATAATATTTTTCCAGGGAGATTTGTCTTCAAACTCTAGATAACTAACTAGTACCCTTTAACTTAAACCATTGATATCGCTGTTATTTGGGTCAAAATAAACAAGTTATATCATCATCACCAACAAATTAGGTTGAGTAGAGCTCAAGCTCTCAACTATATAAATATACATAATTGAAAAGTCAATTCAACTTATAAGAGCTCAATCTTTCGGGAGCTTGAGACCCGCGTTACCCTTTTAAAATATAGTAATCACGAACTTAATTATAATACTACTCATGTTTTCTCTATAACATATTTATTTTTATTTTATTTCCTTCTACCTCATTCCTTTAAAGGGATAATCCACCACCATAAATGAGTTTAAAATAATATCTCAACCCAAAATTTCTAGATATTGAGCTTTTATATATATATATATATGTTTGTACAGGATAGAATCTTTTGACACCGGTGTCAAATTTAAAATTTAACACCTCATCTAAGAGCCGTTAGATCCAAAAAGATCAATGGTATCATATGCTTACAAATCAGAGTCGTTAATCTTCTTTTATATTCTTGCTTAATAATTTTACCGTATGATAGACTTTATCACTAAAACTTAAATTTCCAACATAAATTTCATTGCTTAGTGTAACAGGTTGCGCATGATTGGCCACTCACTGAGTTGCTGCCAGAACTGGATTCGAGCTAGAAACTGCTTAATAGTGACGCAGAGAATTTTCCCTATACACGATGTCAAGCTAAGGACTTAGAAGTGGACCCAAGAAAAAGATATAAAGAGAAAATTATCAATGTGATATAAAGAAGAAAAGTTTGCCTACTTCCAATTTTGATCATCCATCATATTAATAACATGCAAACAACCGTTTATAAGCAGAAACTGTTAACAAAATTCAAAATAAAATCAACCAAGAAAGGTGTACAATAATGTTAGATGTAAGAAAATCTGAGAATTAATGGTCACGTTCAAGTACAATTAACACGCATGCTTTAATATATAAAATTAGAATTAAACTTTTGATTTGCCATGCAAAGGCATTATATACCATAAACAAATGGTACTTGGGAGGAAATAACCCTCGTATGAACTGTTGATTTCTATGACCAAATTCAAAATCCTAAACCTTGTACTACTAATAAGAGTCTCACATGAAGTCGATTACATAATCAAATCATGCATGAGTTTCAACCAAATTGTGAGCTTCTACCAGTATTGATCATAGGACACATCCTTTCTGATTGAAGAGGCGTTCTTCTTGGTGATGGCCTTTCAAGCTTCATAGATACATCAAATTTCTTCTCACCAAGAGTTTCTCCCTGGAGTGCTTTCTTTGTGTCATAGATCTCAGACATAGAATCACTCTCAGCACCTCTATCCATTGCTGATGGTGCAATCTGAATCTGGTCACCTTTGTAAGGATCATCATCTTGAGGACTAATGCATGACGAATTAGCCATTGCCAAATCTTGAAGCCTGAAATCATCATTCCAAATCAAAGGGCTCTTTCCACTCCCACTATAAAGGCTTGGCCTCTTCTTCCCAAGAAAAAGATTTTCATTAGATGGCACAAACCCATCAAGGGTTGGCCTCTCCATGTTCTGCTGAAGATCAAGTTGGTCACCACTACCATAAATGTTAAGATCTTGAAAAGAAGGGAAATTAAGAGGGGAACCAAATTCTTTCATGACCCCCATTTCAGGAATGCCTTGAGCTCCAATAACCTTTGAGTTGGAAGCAGAAGATGCCATGTTTTCACCTGCAATTGTGTGATAAGCCTTCTCCAATATACTCTGCATGTATTTTCCGTGAGCCTCAATCCTCAGCTGAAGGTGTTTTTGAACCTGCCAAATGTATACACTTCAAAACCTTGCTGAACATGCCCGTGTAAGACTTAATAGATGCAATTATAGGGACTTTAATTTCTGGTGGTTTTTAATTACCTCTAGTTGTTCATGTAATCTTCTTTGCACCTCCATTTGCATCCTAATTGCACCAACCACTTTTGAGTTAATGTTGTATACATACAGTGTCACACATATACACCACAATGAACACCCGAATCCCCCAACACCCCAGAAAGAATCAAAAGAAAAACTTGGATTTGTCTTCTCTATACCAAAAGAAAAAAAGTAAAGGAATATTAGAGGGTGCGAAATTCTCTTCAATTTCATCTAAAAAAAAAAGACACAAGTGATGCATACTCGTTCATGTTGCGGCCAATCATTGAAGACGAGGAGCTAGTATTTCTTTGCAGTTCTGAAGCCAAAGATTCCAGGGTAAAAAGATGTAGTCAATACAGAAGAACCACATTAAGTGTAAAGCTAAAAGCTCAAAGAAAATGAAAAATAATTAAGGAACCCTAGGAAGAAGAGTCACCTCTCATACCATCCTTAATCGAACTGTGCTCACTGAATTCCTTGTGGGGCTGCTTTCCAAGCCTAAATTTCTATGAAATATTGCAAAGAAAAAATCAAAGAACATAAAGGAAAAAAGGGGAAAAAGAAAAGAACATGAGAAATAGATAGTGTAACAAAAGGGTGCTAAATGAAAAGCAAAAGAAGTATGAAATATCGTTTTGTATTCAAACCTGAAGGTGGCTCTTGAGGTGGTAAAGGGTAAGACCCTTCACACCCATAACCCTCATGATTGTTTTAGGAGTAGCCTCTGCAAATTATAGAACACACAAGAGAGAGAACAATAGTAACTAAAAGATGATGATGCAAATAAATATTATATCATAGTTTAAACCAAATCAAAGAAAAGAACAAAAAGGTGAAGATTAGTACTATCAGGCCCTCCAAGCTGAGTAACAGCATCAACAAAGCGTTCATGGAGTTCAACAGTCCAACGAAGGCGTGGTTTTGGGTCTGTGGTGAGGACAAGCCCTGAGTCACCTTGGACACACATGGTTCTGTCATGAGAATTCATAGTTGAAGGCTTCTTAGTAGGGAACATTCTTTCCATCTCTCTCTTCCCTTCTTTCTCTCTCTGATGAGAGGCTGAGAAGAATACCAAGAGATTCAAGAACAAATGCGATGCAAAGAAGGAAGAATAGGGTGCGTTTTTGAAGAGGAAATGGAGGTTGTGAAAGGCTTTAGCTACCAGGCATAAAGAATAAGGAGAAGAGCTATAACCTTACTTAAAAAGAATGTATAAAATATTATTGAGATTTAATAAATAAAGCATTCTTATTCTAACATGCAAGCCTTCCTTTTCCCAAAGGCATCCCTCTCTCTCTCTCTCTCTCTCTCTCTCTCTCTCTCTCTCATTTCAACCTTGATTACTAAATCATTGGTTCTAACCAATTAGTTCTAATTTGATAATCATACATAGATCGATGGTTAAACTTTTAAATGTCACAAAGAAGAAAAAGAAAAAGAAAAGTGAATAACAACCTATTCGTACTAATGTTTATGAAAAGTAATTCATACCATGCAGAATTAAGCATAATTTTTACTAAATTGATGTTGAATAATTAACTAATTACATTCCAGGTAGAGATATCCTTTATAGAATTTTGTATGGTGTATTTAGATTTTTGGGGCATCATGCAGTGAAACCCCTCATGTAACGTTCATGATGGACAATATATATATGGACTACACTTTTTGATACCCTAGAATGATCTTTTACATATTGAACTGTTTGTTGGAAATGAACAATCACACAACACACACAAATCAAAAACAAAAAGAGAAATAGAAGACAAAATCAATACAATAATTTATCCTGATTCATTCAATGTATGTTACGTCCAGCTTATCTATATTATATTTACCTCATTGTTATTTGTTACAAGTCACTCGGTTTACAAGATAATATAAATAGGATTTAGAAAACTTTAACAGTACCTATTCATGGGCCCAAATTGGCTTTCTACTGACCCCACAAACATGAGTCATCATCTAAATGCGAAGTATGAATTATACCCCACAAACATGTATCGTACTTGCAATACATGATCATTTCGTGGTACGACTCCCTTTTTAGCATAATTATTAGTAAGAACACACCAACGGCCTATCAGCTACAATGGCAATAACAGAAAACATTGGCTTGATGTCCTTACAAAGGAAAAGTTTTGAATCATATAATTGATAGAAAAATTCTGTTTATTTTATGAGTGCGCCCAAGGCAACGAGCACATTGGCATATTACAAGATTTGATTGAAAGACCATTAAGATGCACATGGCTCGTTAAGTTAGTAGCATCTCTTTGTCTATAGAATTAACTTGATATTTAATTTTTTTGGTTTTGTTTTTGGTAACAGATATTTGCTATTTTTTGATTGATACTATATTTGTATTGGGTAAACAATCTCCTGTCTATTATATTAACTCGATTACACTATACATAAATATGAATTTGCTATTCACATCATTTTCCTGCTACCAATTGCTCCTTAATGTAAAATAATAATATGTCAAAGAGTATACCAAAATAATAATAATAATAATAATATGTCAAAGAAAATTTGAATAACAAGTAGGCAGCAACTATATATCTATTAGGGGAATTTTCATCTATACCTAAAATGTTACGCTCTTCCTTACACCTATGATTTTTTAAGGAAAAAGAAAAAAAGAAAGAGTCAACAGAATATAATAGATGTAAGTGGTAAGTATATATTTTTTAGGTGTAGAAATAACATTATTGATATTTATGTGTAACGCCTCATCTCCAGCCAATTATTTAGCATTAATATGATATTTAGCGCACCAAATTTTAAACTTAATAAATGCATAAGCTAACTGATTAACTTTTTCCTTTTCCTTATGTATTACAATTTTTATTGCTTTTTTGGTCAAAATAAAACAGGCAGCATTTTGTCTATATTTTGGACCACTGAAATAATTCCCACCATGATAATCTCAACGTGATTGACAGTTTAATATAATCTAGGCATAAACTATATTACCCAGCCATCCATGGCATAGACATAACAGGTCTCAAAACAATGTCCATAGAGCTACTTACATGATTACATCAACTAACCAAAAGAGATGTAATTAAATAAGTAACCTAGATATATGCAAACATAACTAACAAAATAGATAAACTATCAACATGGCATAGACATTTCTTATGCTCTCTAAAAGAATACATGACATATACATCTCAAAAGAATAACAACATCATGATGTCATGTACAAAATGAAATAGCAGTCATAATCCTGACTATCAAGTCAGATAATATCTCTCCTCTGGCCTCTTGCCGCGTGATACCTCAGCATCATCAGCTACTGTACCTGAAATAGTAATTCCCATAACGCGGGATGCGATGATAATCTCAACAACTAGGGGTCCTTGGAGGGCTCCTCCACTCCCAGGTTCACTTCAGGCATAATATCGCAGTATAAAAGCATATATGCGTCAAAATATGTATATCAATGAATGTGTGCAATAATAAATCTTACTGGCCAGAGAATACAACAAGTATGCATTATGCAAGGAAACACTGTCTTGCAACATACCGTATAAGGAAATTGTAACAGCCCGTTGTACACCGGGATTGTTAACATTAATTATGATATTAAGCGCAGTTACAATCACAGCAATTCTTTTATAAAAATGCGAGTAAACTTTTTCCGTTATTACGCGAGCATTTAAAACAATAAAAAACGTAATAATTAAAAGTTGTGACCGTAACTGTAAACACTTTGCGGAATACTTAATTAAACTAATTTTGTAACTTATTTTACTTATTACAAGTCACTAAGGGATTCCCATAAACCCACTTAGCATAATTCTCACTTTTACGTTTTCTACCCTTCCGAACATGGTTCGGTTATTATTTTTGTGCGGACACACTGCACAAAACCAGTCCTTCATCTTTAACTATCTTTTTTTCTTACTTAAATACCTTTCCAATGAGCCATCACACGAGTCATTTCGATCTCGTTTGCTCCGGATATCGCCGTTTGAAGTTGGACAAGCAAAACTGCCAACCAATCCAAAAACAGCTCCAAACATCCTTCACTCCACGAATTACTGCAGAAAATCCACTCTACCAATTTCTCTCAAATTTTTATACAACAAACTAGACACCTTAAGCTTCAATTTGATATATCACACACTTAGTTTGACTAAGAAACGAAGCATAAATTAATTTCCCAAAACTGGTCCAGATCTGCCACAAGTGCAGTGAGCAATTGGGCAGTCTGAACTCTTTGCCTTCTCCAGGCCGGTGCCCAACCCAGAATTCTCTCAGATTTTACCACAAGTTAGAGGACATCACAACCTTCAAAATAGCATATGATACGTCCCTATCGGACCTCTGTGAAGGGAGATATGCTCTCTCGAAGTTCGCCTAAATTCTGCCAATTCTACAGAAAATTCGCCAGAGTTTCCTTTGTTTTTACAAAATCCCAAAGTTTGCAAATGCTTTCTAATACGGTATTAGTAATACCTCAAATGTACCTAATAACCAATGGGTGGCACACACAAGGACCAACAATGCCTTGGGGCACTTACAACCCAACTCAGTTTATAGTTATTACACAATTCATATCATGTTGCTCACTTCATTTTATCCTTAACTTATTTCAATCACCAATGTCCATTTACATGCATCTTCTAAGCATACACATAATTATAATCCTAGAATAGGCCTAAAGCCCTTCCATCATATTACATCTTACAAATTCATAACTTTAAATTACAACTTGAAACATAAAGCTTAAAATAACACGTACAACATGTACCTAGACTTAGGCAAACTAGCATGAACAAATATGACATGAAACTCATCCTACATACATATGGGATGTTCATGCCCTAAGTCTATCCTAGGCCCAATGGCCATCAAAATGCAAAATGTAGAAATGCTCTCCAACACTCATCCTACGGGCCTCTTGCCCGCCGCTCCTGTGCCACTGCTACCTCCTGAAATAAAGCCCCCAAGACGGGGTGAGATATAGGAATATATCTCAGTAACCCAGAGGTTCTGGAGAAAACTCCACCCAATGGTTCACTTCGATACATATAAATAATAAACAATAACCTCTTTTAAAAACGGAATAAAGCAAGGGATTTAGAGAAATTGGGGAATATATGAATACAAAATACGACGAAGTTGGAATGGTAGCTACGAATACCACGCAACGCCCTGCCTAATGGCTTGGCATATAAGCCTACGGGTCTCATCCAAGGCGTGTTCTAAGAACAGCTAACCAAGGTACCCTTCACATCCGCATACACCCGAGACTTCCTAGTTTACTCCTATCCGGATCACACACCACGACCCTAGGTCAACTGGAACTCCCTCTCGGAGACCTATCCAGTGGAAGTCCGAAACGCCCGAAGGCAAAAACTGTCTATTGGCCAGAGACTCGGTACCTACGTACCAACATACATATTACATGCATGATCATGTTATTCTACACTACTCGTATACACTTCCTACCATCACCCTCAACGGGTATGGTGGAACACACAAAGGGAACAAGCCCCAGTACCAAGAGGTTACCTTAATAAGTTCCTCCACTTAGCTCCACAGCAGTATACTCTCCGAGCTCGTCACTCAACAGAATGCCTACACAGAGGGCATTTCCAATTACTCAAAACTCATACGAATACATGTCAGTTAACAATTATACAAGCATAATTCAATCACTTACCTTAATCCCACTTGGTCCAGGACCAAGGGCAATCCACCGACTCATGGTTCGGGGTTCAAATCGACGTACGGCAACCTACAACACCATATACAAATCATCAGTACACGGCAATTCGATCAAAATACGAAAAACACCAAAAATCACCCCTACACCTTGTAGGTTCGGCCTTCTTAGGCTTATTTCACATTTTATTTTTCTAAATTTTCTTTCTCATTTTATTATACCTCCTTAGGTTGCCAAAAGGCCATACCAAGTGTCGTTTTTTACTTTACGTCTTTTAAACAACGTTTTGCCTAATATTTTACTCTAGGATCCTTTATGATATTTAACACCCTCGATTATTTTTCATCGATCCTTCAACCTTCAAACCACCACACAACCCATCTAAATACCATTTAACACATGATCCATCAACCAATCCATGCCAACAACATCAAATCCCTAAAATTCCCTACATGGCCGAATTGTCAACTAGGTAATTCCAAAGGATTTTCACTCAATTTTAA